GTGAATGTGTACATGTTATGTGTGTGTGAACTTGTGAATGTGTACATGTTATGTGTGTGTTTGTGTGAACTTGTGAATGTGTACGTGTTATGTGTGTGAGTGTGTGTGTGAACTTGTGAATGTGTATGTGGGGTGTGTGTATGTGTATGTGTGTGTGTGTGTGCGTGTGGACATGCACATGCATGTGATGAGTGTGGACATGTGCATGGAGGCAGGCTGCCCTGTCCAGCCCCGCTGCCCCCATGAGCCCCATCAAGCCCACTGCGGATGACCATCTGCTCCCCTTCCTGAATGACTCGGAAGTCTCCCACTCACCCCACTCCCCTCTGCCTGCTATGCCTCTGTTCTGTCCTCATTTGGCAGTTTTCTGTCCCCCCACATCCCCTGACCCCCAGCTCTGCTAGCCGCCCCGCAGGGCCTGTGCTGTGTCCACACTGACCCACGTCCACTCCCCTCCCCCCCAGCAACAGAAGAGCATCGAGGCAATGGAGGCCGTCATGGAGGAACTGTCCAAGACCGGGAGCCTGTTCGAGGTCACAGTCCCCGACTACAAACAGCTCAAAGCTTGTCACAAGGAGGTCCGCCTTCTTAAGGAGCTGTGGGACATGATCTTCATGGTGAGGGGACATCTCCGCCCCATGCCTGCAGCCCCCGCTGGCAGGGCCCCCCGCCCGGCACCACCCCTCAGTCCTACAGTGTGAGCCTTTGGGGGGTCTGGTCACTGCTGGGGCTCCTGAAAGACCCAAGGTGAGGTTGGAGGCACCTTGGTGTGTCCTCCACTGCTGCCTGCTTCCTTCCTCCTCCCTCCCTTCCTCCCTCCTCCTCCCCCTCCCCCTCCTCCTCCCCTTTTTCTTCTTCTTCTCCTCCTCCTCCTCGTTTTCTTCTTCTCCTTCTCCTTCTCCTCCTCCTCCTCCCCCCCCCTTTTTCCTCCCCCTCCCTCTCCCTCTCATATTTTTCTAATCTGTGAGGAATAGCTCTTAATCCTGTAGAAACACCTAGAAATCTCAGGGTTCCCCCCACGAGGCATCCTCCAGCTTAGCTTGAACTTTTGGAGTGTTTTTTAAAAATGCAAATAACTTTTGTTGTTGTAAATGTGGAAATCCTAGTGGCATCGTGGTTAATGTATCTGACTCCTAACCAAAAGGTCAGCAGTTCAAAACCACCAGCCCTCCGGCAGAAGGGTTTCTAAGTGGGAAACGCTGTAGGGCCATTCTGCCTCTTCACTGTGTGTAGGAAAGAACCCGAGGGCAGTGGCTTCGGGTTGAGTTTTGATGAGACTTTAAGGAGCCCTGGCAGTGCACTGGCTAATTGCTCAGCAGCTAACTGAAAGGCCGATAGTTCAAGCCCACCCATCGCTCTGTGGGAGAGAGATGAGGTACCCCACTGCCTCTGCTTCACTATCCTTTGCTGTCTTTGTTCCTGCGTTTTCCATGGAGGTATTAGAATGAGCGTGGCTCTGCCCATTACAAACCGTGTTGGCTTTTTCCTAGGAATTGCCCTAAATCTATGATGTCCATGTGGTGACATCAGTGAGGTCAGAGAGCCCAGGGCCCTGCATGTCCCACAGTAAGCAGAGTGGCCTAGGGGCTCAGGACTGCAATCTGAACTCACCTGGTGGCTCTGCGGTAGAAAGGCCTGGTCATCAGCTCCTGTGAAGAATGAAAAGCAAAAACCCCAAACCCACTGCTGTCAGCTTGATTCTGATTCACAGGGTCCCCCTGGTCATAGTGGACCTGCCCACAGGGCCCACAGGGACCACCCTCAGGACAAAGGGACCCTCCAGGCCAGAGTGGGCCTGACCACAGGGTCCCCCAGGACAGAGCAGACCTGCCTACAGGGTCCACAGGGACTCCCAGGACAGAGGGACCCTCCAGGACAGAGTGGGCCTGACCACAGGGTCCACAGGGAAGAGTGGGCCTGCCCACAGGGTCCCCCAAGACAGAGCGGGCCTGCCCACAGGGTCCACAGGGACCCCCAGGACAGAGGGACCCCCAGGACAGAGTGGGCCTGCCCACAGTGTCCACAGGGAAGAGCGGGCCTGCCCACAGGATCCCTCAGGACAGAGTGGGCCTGCCCAGAGGGTCCCAAGGCTAGAATCCCTTCAGGAGCAGACAGTCACATTTCTCCTGAGGAGATGGGTGCTGAACCGCTGTGCCACCAGGGCTCCCTGTCCAGACGTGAGCCTAGAAACCCTAAGGGACAGCTCTACACTGTCACACCGGGTGGACACGAGCAGCGTTGTTCTTGTTAAGTGCCCACCAGTCGACTATGAGGCTCATAGGGCCCCTGTGAAGGACAGATCTGAGCCCTGCCCTGGCCTGCCCCGCAGCGTCATCTCAGATGCACCTGAGCCCATTGTTCCAGTCACAGCGCCAGCTCAGCCCGGTGAGGGGCCTCCTCTGCTATGTGACCTTCCTCCTTTCCAAGCCTGAGGACCCTCTCCAATGACTGGCCCCTCCTAACGCCACGCCCAAAGGATCATTGCGTCTAAGGGGCACCTGGTCTCACTTCCTCCAAGACAGACTTGCTTGTTCTCCTGAAAGTCCATGTGACGCAGGCTGGAGAACCCAGATGACACTTCCTGTGAGACAGCGATGAGCCAGACGCTTCCAGAAAAGATTATTCCCAGCAAGGAGCCAGCAACTGTCCAGATGACAGGAGACAGAGGGGCCTGAACGGGCCTAAAGGGACCTCTGATTTCTGTGGCCTGGTTCTGAGTCTTAGTAGTCCAAGTAAATGCCCGCTAGCCCACCCTGCTGGACCTTTATCTGGTAGAATGAGCCCCTCTGGTACCATGCCAGCCCCTCGGAGTTCCCCAGGGCCCGCAGTCCCCAGCCTCAGCCAGTCCCAGCTCACGCAGGCTGAAAGGCGGGGAGCATTCTAACTTCTCTCCCGCCCTTAATCCAGCTCACACACTTCACACCCTTAGAAGGCAAAGCCCTGTATTTCCATTTCCTCCGTCACTGACGCTGGTCCTTGGAGAGAGACATCATGCTTAGGAAGGTGAGGGTCAAAGAGGTCAAGATCCCTCATGAGATGGGCTGACACAGTGACCGCAGCGATGGGCTCAGGTGTGTCAGAGGTGACGAGGACGGCAGAGGATGGGACAGGGCTCAGGTCTGCTGGTCACAGGGTCACTGTGAGGCAGCAGCAGCAGCAACAACAACAACCACACAGCTCTAGAATCTTCCCCTGTCCTACCATGAAGGTGTGTATCCTGCTTAAACAGAGCCCACACTGCACTTCCCGGCAGCTCTTGACAACAGTCTGCCCAGGTGGGGCCAGTGTCCCAGCCAGTTTGGCTCATAAGGTACCTGGACTCCTGGTTGTGTGGAAAGCCCTGAACTGAGAGCATCATCAATTAAATGCTGCCAGGTGTCACTCAGGTGCTACTGACAAGGAAACGTCTGTGTCCAGAGTAGGAGGAAAGGACTTGGCTTGGGCGGACGTTGGCAAGGCCAGCTGCAGTATTCTGCTGGTGCCTTAACTGCCGATTCACGGCTCATGCTACAGCTGTCGATGCCCCACGTCTGTCCAGCTGCTTGACGGAGTCCGTTGCTGGTCCTGAATGCCCCACCCCCACCCTGCTCCAGGCCTCTCTCTGCCCAGGTGTGCAGCCCCGCCGGAGGGCTGACCAACGTCTCGCCCCCTCCCCAGGTGAACACCAGCATCGATGACTGGAAGACCACCAAGTGGAAGGACATCAACGTGGAGCAGATGGATATAGATTGCAAGAAGTTTGCCAAGGATGTGAGGTCCCTGGACAAGGAGATGAAGGCCTGGGACGCCTTCGTGGGCCTGGACAACACTGTCAAGAACACCATCACATCGCTGCGTGCTGTCAGCGAGCTGCAGAACCCTGCCATCCGGGACCGCCACTGGCAGCAGCTCATGGTGGCCACCCACGTATGTCACCAAGCGCGTTGGGCCCAGGGTTGCCCTTCTCTGTGAATGACCGGGGCAAGCAGCTTGTCTACAGATGTCGTAGGTCCTGGTTGTAGATTGAGTGTCCCCAGGGCTCGAGAAGTTTGGGGAGATAAGCAGCTTCCCTGTGAGCCCCAAAAGAGCCCTGTAGTGTAACACATTGCATACTGGTCTGCAAAATGAAAGGTCAGTGGTTCAAACCCACCAGCCACTCCAAAGTAGAAAAATGGGTGGTCTTCTCCCACTGAGGTCTACAGCCTCGGAGGCCCGGAGGACAGTCCCTGGGAATCGGAACTGGACCCACTGTGGCGGGTTGGGTGTGGGTTTGGCACTGGCCCCTGTGCCCCTCAGGACCTCAAGTCTGAGCACCAGCATTTCCCAGGGGCACCCCTAGTGTAAGTCCTGGCTCTGATGGCCACCAAAGGCCATTGGCAAAGAAGCAAGACGTCTACAGAGTGAGGTGACAGGCTGCTAACGGAAACGTCGGCGGTTCGGATCCGCTGGCCGTCTGTGGGAGGAGGATGGGCAGCCTGAACGATTCACAGCCTCAGAGGTGGCCAGAGGGGCCTGAGGGGGAGCTGACCTCCATCAGCTGCTGGGGTGAACAGACATAGGGGGGCAAAGAAAGTGGTCACACTGGGTGCTCCAGGGAGTGGGGAGGGGTGGCCTGGGAGTGAGAGAATGTCAGCCAGACAGACAGCTGGGGCGGGACTCCTGGGGGGCGTGCATGCGGGAGGAAGGCTGGGGCGGGACCCTTGAGAAGTTTGATGGAGCAGAGAGCATGCTCAGAGGAGTCATGAGGAGCATGGTGATCCCCAAAGAAGGCACAGCCCCCCAAATTAAGTTCTTGCTAGCTGGTGTCTAGTCAAGTCCCAACTCCTGACACCCCCCACCGCCCCGACAAAGGGATGGGATGGTGGCGATCAGCGGGATTCTCACTGGCTGGCTTTGGGGAGCAGATTGCCAGCCCTTTCTTCCTAGTCTTAGTCTACAAGGTCCACTGGAACCAGCCCAGCATCCTAGTAACACGTGACCCTCCACTCACAGACGGGTGGTGGCTGCACGGGAGATGTAGTGGTGAGGATTTGAAGCCAGGTCTCTCACGTGGAAGGTGAGGGCTGTCCCCTGACTTGAATCTGTACACAGGTGCCATCAAGTCAAGTCACACACGTGTGTTAGGGCAGGACTGTGCGCCACAGGGTGTCCAGCAGCTGAGCTTTCAGAAGGCAATTAATTGCCAGACCTTTGTTCCGAGGCGCCTCTGGGGGGACTTGAACCTCCTACCTTAGCATCCAAGGGGGTTAACCCTGTGCACCACCTCAGGGCTGAATACTGGTTCTGCACACAGGACCAAGAAGCTCACTGGGTACAGAAAACCTCATATGCAAAAAAATCTAACCCTCCTCCCCACTCAGGTGAAATTTCAAATGTCAGACGAGACTACACTGGCGGACTTGCTCCAGTTGAACCTGCACAAGTACGAGGACGAGGTCCGTAACATCGTGGACAAGGCCGTGAAGGAGTCTGGGATGGAAAAGGTAACGACGGGTCAGCCTGAGCCTGAAGCCGACCCACCAGGGCAGGGTCCTGTGGTGGCCTTGCCTGCAGGGGACACCCTGCTGGCACTTCCTCTGAGACATGTTTGTTCTCTTCCATGGTACAGTCAGTACTCTCTCCCAGCGCCACTCTGTAAAGGCATCCACTCTTCTTCCTCATCATCCAACGTCCACATGCACACAAAGCAATTGAAAACACCCTGGCTTGGGTCAGGCACACCTTAGTCCTACAAGTGACATCCAGTGCAGTCCATCATTTCATTTGTTAACTGCTGTCATGCTAACAGTCTTCCTGAGGCACATTTTATGTATTGTTCAGCTCGCTATCCTTCCGAGTGGCCAGGTCAGCGTGTAGCTTTTTTTTGGTTTCGTTTTGCTCACTCATAGAGTCGAGCAGCCACCACCACTGTTGATTTTAGAACTTTTTTGTCGCTTCAGAAAGACTGTCCTACATTTTAGCTGCCACACCCCGGTTTCCTCTCCCAGCCCAGGGGAACCCCTAATCTGCCTTCTGTCTCTGCATTTGCCCGTTCCGGACATCGTGTGTTTACGGAACTGGGTTCTGTGTGGTGTTTTGCACGTGGCCTTTTCCACCAGGATGTGTCTGTGGCTCATCCAATACTGTGTTCCCTAGCGCCTCGCCTGCTTCAGGGTCTGCTTCTGGTCTGCTGTGTGGACGTGTGTGGTGGGTGGCACTCACCTGGTCCCCGGCTGCTGGATATGGGGCTGCCTCCAGCTTTTGACTCCTGAGGAGGGTTCACCTGTATGACCTAGGAACCTCAGAGTCCCTCACTGCTCCGCGCCTGTGACGGGACCCCCGTCCCTGTGTCCCCAGGTGCTGAAGGCCCTGGACAGCACCTGGTCCACGATGGAGTTTGAGCACGAGCCGCACCCTCGCACAGGCACCATGCTGCTCAAGTCAGACGAGGTGCTGGTGGAGACACTGGAGGACAACCAGGTGCAGCTGCAGAACCTGATGATGTCCAAGTACCTGTCCCACTTCCTGAAGGAGGTGACGAGCTGGCAGCAGAAGCTGTCGGCCGCCGACTCGGTCATCTCCATCTGGTTCGAGGTCCAGAGGACCTGGAGCCATCTGGAGAGCATCTTCATCGGCTCCGAGGACATCCGGGCCCAGCTGCCCGAAGACTCCAAACGCTTCGACTTCATCGACACGGAATTCAAGGTGGGCGCTGCCTGTTCCCAGCACAGCCAGGGTGCTGAGCAAGGTGAGGGGGTGCCTCATAGCCTGATGACCCCTGTCCCTCTGCAGGCCTTGATGGCCGAGGCCGTGAAAACACCCAACGTGGTGGAAGCCACCAACAAGCCGGGTCTCTACGAGAAACTTGAGAACATGAAGAAGAGGTGGGTCCCCACACCCCCAGATGAGGGGCGGCACAGCGGGGCTCACTTTTCATCAGCTGACACCTCCTCTTCTCAAGATGCACATGCTGCGCCCCAGCCCCTCCAGCCATGCCCCATCCACGCACCCACAGGGGAGCAATGACCATGGACGTCACTCACCGTCATCTCACGCCCACCTCCCCCAGGGTCGGAGGGATTAGAGGGTGGCCACGGCTGGACAGCATCCCCCTGGAAGTTCCAGATTAGCCTGGGCATGTGACTAACAGCGGTGCTGAGGGAAGCAAATGCTAACGCCCTTAGCTGCAGCCTGAGAGGTTGGCGCTGCACCCAGAGGCACCTTGGAAGGAAGGCCTGGCGGTCTCCTGCCAACTGGAACCGGGGTCTCAGTCCCACTCTGCGACCTCTATGGTCACTGTGGGTTGGGGTGAATAGTCAGTCAGTGCTGTTTCTGGTGAGAAGCAGGCTGAGGGGTCTCCAGGGCTGTGGGTGAGCACTGGGAGCGGGGTGCAGGACCCTCCCCAGGCTGTGACACACCGCCTCTGGCCCCCCAGACTGGCTGTGTGTGAGAAGGCTCTGGCCGAATACCTGGAGACCAAAAGGCTGGCTTTCCCGCGCTTCTACTTTGTGTCCTCGGCTGATCTCCTGGACATCCTCTCCAACGGAAATGACCCTGTGCAGGTAGGTGACCCCTTACCCCACCCCACACTCCAAGCTTCCATGTGCAGGTTGGTGACCCCTCACCCACTTCACCCCACACTGTGAACTTCCACGTACAGGGAGGTGACCCCTCACCCACTCCACCCCCCTTACTTCCACGTGGAGCTGGGTGGGAAGGGTGTTCCACAGGAGAAGCTCCTCGCCCACCCCACCCTGTGAACTTCCACGTGCAAGTGGGTGACCCCTCACCCCAACCCAGCCCACAAACCCAAGCTTCTAATGGATCTAGGTGCAAAGGGTGTTCCACAGGAGAAGCCCTCATCCCACCTCACACCCCGAGCTTCCAGGCACCCCACCAGAAACCGCTGACCCCTAACCTGAGTGCCCCCACCCCCAGGTCAGCCGCCACTTGTCCAAGCTCTTCGACAGCCTGTGCAAACTAAAGTTCCGGCTGGACCCGAGCGGGCAGCCCCTCAAGTCGGGCCTGGGCATGTACAGTAAGGAGGACGAGTACGTGGACTTCGACCAGGAGTGCGACCTCTCGGGCCAGGTGCGTCGGGCAGCCCCTCCTCCCTCTGCCTCCCGAGAGCCGGTGTGCAAAGGACGTGACTTAGACGGTGCTGGAACACGACACCTCAGCAGTCCTCGTGTGTGCGATTCGGTGACATTAATGCTGTCCACCCATCACCCCAAAGATGACCACCAGGGAGTGGAGTGGGGCAGTGGTTACCAGGCGTGAGGAGGGAGGGAGGGGGCAAACATGAATTCACCAATTAAAGGTGCACAGGAAGGTGGGGAAGAAAACCCAAACTCCTCCCCCTCACCTCAGAACCTTCCCATGGCGGGCCCTCCGACGGGGTCAGTAAGTCCCTCCAGCATGAGATTCTTGGACAACATCCACATTGATCCGAAAGACTCGGCAGCAGGGACTCAAAGAGAGAGGTGTTTACCAGCGTCCAGTCTTCACAATCACCACAGGGTGGAAACAGCCCGAGTGTCCACTGACACAGTACGTGTTCTGGGCATGCAATGGACTCTTGTGCAGCCATGAAGAGAAATGAGGCATCGAGTCACAGGCTGTGACCTGGACAGACTGAGGGAGCCAGATGTGAAAGGCTACATCGTGTGTGGTCCCACTTATAGGAAACATGCAGAACAAGGGCTTGCAGACAGACAGACCATAGATGGGTGGTTTCCGTGGGCTGGGGGAGCGGTGTAGGAGTTACTGGCAAGTAATTCTTATTATTTAACAACTAAGTTACAGTAACTGAGTTACTGGTGCAGAGGTTCTATGTGGAGATGAAGGAAAATTCTGGATTTGGGACAGTGGGGATGGTTGCACGGCCATGAGAATGGAATTCATGCCACAAGTCATGCACCTGCAAAGGGCTGCACGCACAATCCTACGGGACTCGTCATACAAACAGTACCCTACAAATGATGCCTAGACAGGCAGACGAGGCAGACAGACGATGGATGGGACAACGGACATCCTGCAAGTGACACTTCAACATGGATATTTGCACGTGCTGCCAACCCATATTCAACCCATTGCGCTGTGTCCAGATGCAGGCTGTTAGAGCTGACCTATGAACGAGGAGGGCAGAACCGCTATCTGGAAGCTGTGGTGGTGGAGGAGGGTGGCGATCCCACAGACGTCAAGGGAACACAGAGATCTTGGAGAAAGTGCCGCCAGCATGCTTCTTGGAGGCAGATGATAGTTTCGTCTTAGATGCTTTGGGCACGTTGCTAGGAGGAGTTATTCCTTGGGAGGGAACATCATGCTTGGAAAGGTGGAGGGACGGAGAGGAAGGCCCTGACCCCGGTGGATGGACACAGTGACTGCAGCAGTGGTACGTCAGGGATTATGACGATGGCATGGGGGAGGACAGGGTTCAGGTCTGCCGTTCTTAGAGCTGCCATGGGTCGCTCTCCATGTGGTAGAGAGCACATGACAACAGTGTATCACTGTTTTGGGGGTCCCTTAAGGACAAAGTGGAGCTGGGCCTGCCGAGGGCCCCTGTCGACACCTGTGGCTCTGCCTGCAGGTGGAGGTGTGGCTGAACCGTGTGATGGACCGGATGTGCGCCACGCTGCGGCATGAGATCCCAGAGGCCGTGGTGACATACGAGGAGAAGCCTCGGGAACAGTGGATCTTCGACTACCCGGCCCAGGTCCAAGACGAGCATGGCTGGCCGGTGACTGCGGAGGGCCTGTTGGGGTCCACACTGTGACACTGTGTGCACAGAGCAAGTGACATGGGGGCAGCTTTCTGTCTCCCAGGAACTCTGGTGGTGCTGTGTATTAAGTATTGCACGGCTAACTGACAGGTCAGCAGTTCGAATCCACCAGCTGCTCTGAGGAGGAAGTTGGGCAGTCTCCTGTAGGGGTGCTCAGCCTTGGGGCCCCGGGGAGGGTCGCCATGAGCGGGACTCGACCCCAGGCGGCTTTTCCATTTGCAGATCGCGCTGACTTGCACTCAGATATGGTGGACGACCGAGGTGGGCCTGGCGTTTTCAAGGCTGGAAGAAGGGTATGAAAATGCCATCAAAGATTACAACAAAAAGCAGGTACGAGATTTCCGTGTGTCCGTCCGAGCACAGCAAGTCCATGGGCCTCAGGAGACACTGGTCAGCCCCGCACCAGCCTCACAGCCTCTGAGGGGTGGGAGCCCGTTCACCGGTGTCGGTCCGGCTGTCCAGAGCCTTCCTCCCCTCTGGCCCTCCACCTTTCCCAGCACGATGTCTTCCTCTGGGGACTGGGCCTTCCCGACAAGAGGCCAGAGTGCGTGAGACCAGTGTCCCCGTGTTCTCTGCGGAGCAGCGTTCAGGCTGCTCTTGGGAGGCAGATCTGCCCCATCTTCTAGCAGGTCATGGCGTAGTCAGCATTTCCATCACCTGGAACTCAAAGGCACAATTCTTTTGCCTTCTTCATTCACTATATAGCTCGGGCACGCGTAAAGTGGTAGAAGATACCATGACTTGGCCCAGAAATGCCATAGTTCTCAAAGCGACATCTGCCACGTCTTGGCTTTTTTACCTGTAAAGAGGCCTTTCTGCAGCAGTTTTGCCCAAATGCGTATGCAGACGTCCCGTGGTAATTCTCAGGGATATACTGGCTGCTTTTCTGAACCAGATCACCAGGCCTGTCTTAATCTTGACGCTCCGTTGAAAACTGTCCCTGTGGTGGCCCTGTGGGCATTTGACATTCTACTGGCACTGAGCCCAGCATCACAGCAACCCACAAGCCGTTGGTGTGACAAGCTGCTATCCGGGTGGTAGCCAGACGGCTCGGCCAGGGAAGAGCATCTTCAGAAATACCGGACTTGACTTCTGTACCACACAGCTGGGAAGAACGAAGTGGTACCTGGAGTCCCTTTTGGAAAAATTCTTGGTTATAAATTTAGAAACTGAAGATAATTAAGAACAAAAAGCCACCCATCACCCACAGGTGGTCAGCATTTCGCTAAGCAGCTTCCGCCTCTGCGTGTGCGTGTCACTTATTCTAGGTTGAAAGCCACAAATGAGGTGTGCCGCGGTGAAGCCCATCTTTTCCTCTTCATCATTGTTTTCAGTGTCTCTGTGGCATTCCACACTCAGCCTGCACCATGGCCGACTCAGTGCCTTCTGTGGGGACACCAAGAATCATCGTTATTGATATACAATGTTGTTATTGTTGGAAATACACACAGCAAAACCTACCTTTCAGCCACTCGGCGAGACCACTCTGCGGGGTTAATGCTATTTGATTTGTGCGGCTGTTTGCTCCTTTTTTTCCGGCTTGTTCCCCCTCTTCCAGGAACACTCCCTGGGTGGGTGAGTGGGGGCTCCTGGCTCTGCGCAACCTCAGAGCCCAACTAGATACCTCTAGCGTGTAACAGGGTGCAGTGGGGAGGCCACCAATGTCCAGTGAAAATGTCCTCCCTCCCACAGATCAGCCAGCTTAATGCACTTATCACCCTGCTCATCGGAAACCTCAATGCGGGTGACAGGATGAAGATTATGACCATCTGCACCATCGACGTGCACGCCCGGGACGTGGTGGCTAAGATGATCACAGCCAAGGCATGGACAGCTGCACACTGGGGGGGGGCAGGGAGGACTGGAAGGACAAGGAGGGCTGGGGGATGGGAAGGG